TTTTTTTTTTTTGTCTCCACCACACGTTTTAAAAAACTTTTGTGAATTTCAGCGCTCTCAAAAGTTTCTTGCCCAAAAACTTATGAAAAAAATAAAGATTACAATTAAACCACTAAACCAATTTCTGATCAATTCTCGGGGAACTCAAATGTATTCCAAGTTCGTAAAAAATATCAAGATTGGAAGATGTCAGAAATTATATGTAGTCAATGGTCAGTAGAACACGTAGTCGAAGCCCACTTCCCGTAGCACCCCTTGCTTAACCCGTGCATCATAACCAGAGCCTATCAACAAAACTATTTGTTATCCCCGACGACTGAGCATTAAAACTCTTCTCCTAGTGCCTACTTGTATTTCAAACAAAAAGTCAATTCCTTCCTACGCACTAGTAAAATAAATTGCCAAATATTTTCTTGTTGCAATCCAATTACTCGCCGAATTATTCGTTATTCCCGAAAAGTTTTTTAATCTTTGCTGATCTTCTCCTTCCTTATCATGCAAGATATTCGTAACCGCTTACCCACCTGTACTCAACCGCCTTTCCCTAAAAGCCATGTTTTAAAAAGAAAACCAAACAAGTCTTAAATTTTATAAAATGCGCTTTTTAACGTTCATCTTTTCAATCTAAAATTACTTTAATCCGTATCAAGATCGATTCTAAAAAAGTTGGTAATGAACAAAACAGAAAGCTTACGGCTGTTAAAAGGGGCAGATGAGTATTCAGAAGACGCAACGACATCCCAAAGCTTTCCTTCAGATGCTTCCGCACCTGCAATACCCATCACGTTACCAACTTTTCTTTGAAGGACCTTATAATCAGTACGTAAAGGAGTCACACAAAAGAAACTTGCTCGCAACAATAAATGAAGTTCTCAAATTCTAATGACAAATCACCAAATTGAGCGCACGGAATGTAAACATAGTCACGCTGTCAGCAAAAAAACTTTAAACATTTACACCCGACCCCAACAGCTTTAAACTCTCTCTATCAAGCACGTTCCAAGCAACAAATTCTTCACAACTGCACGAAATCCAAACAAGAACATTAAAAGTAGAAGTAGAGAAACCTCTAGATCGGTCAACAGCTGTCCGATTAATGCAGACTACATTAAAACATCATTGTCAATCTCACACCGCACTAAATCTTCAGTCAATTTTGAATAAATCAGGGCGGGGACCCATCAGGAGCAGGCGGCGCTCCGCATCGCCAAGACATCAAAACGATTCAAGAATAGACTTTTCTACAGAGCATGAATGAATTGGATTTTTTAGCTAAGCCACAAAAGCAACCTAAGATCGCTGTTTATTTTTTCTTAAATTTAAAGTTATTGTAAAAGAAGTTATTCCAAAGAAATACAGCACATATATTAAGATTAAGATTTATTAAGACTGTTTCTCGAGAAATTAAGGTGAATTAAAAAACATGGAAATATATACATCCTAGTAACAAATCATATTTCCTATCCATAAAATACCAACAAATTTTAAAACCGTGCACTGTTCTAAAGTCTTAAACTTCATTACTTTTCTATCAAAACTGCTTCCCACCCTAAAACTTCATTAGATCACGCTCTTACGACTTGAAATTCAACGTACATTTCTCAGAAACCGTTATTACCGATTGCCCCACAAATTTTCCAGGGAGAGTGATGCTGCGCCTTTCAGACCAGATAAAGAATATCTGAACAGCGTTAGCTGTACATTTCACAGCACTTAACCCCAAAAATACCAATAATTTTAATCCATAATTACAATTTACCCCTTGTTGATCTTGTTTCTTAATCTATAACCATGATTGTACATCAGTTTAATGTAGGGAATTCCTGTTCAAAAAATTACGATAAAAATTCAAAACAGCTTCTGCTAGACAATCGGGATAGTGACTCCTTCACTTAAACTAAGTAAGAATTGACCAAAGCCGAAATCAACCGAAAACATCCGTCAGCACTGAACAACAACCTCCAAACTGCATACTGGCTGCTAGTCTACCAGCAGTCAAGTCTCAACCAAGCCAAGTATAAGAACAACACCGCCTCTACTGCACGTCAGAACCCCGTATAACTACGTGCATTTTTGAACAATTCTTTCAATAATCTTTTGCAGTTGAAGAGTGAGAGAACACAGCCAAGTGTAGGGCAGCCAGGCGGCGAAAGTGTTGACGAGTAATAGATCAAAAAATCTGAAAAAAAAAAACTCCCCTAGGTTCTTAGACATCAAGTTTCATCGGCGACTACGTGCTTAACGATAGGTTGCTGGTGACTGCGTCAAAAGCGAAATGTAGAAATGCACATATCATTCGGGGCTACTTGTAACTGTTCTGCGGTTACATGCAGTTGGAAGAGATGAATGTTTAACAGCTTGACAGATACTGTGATGTCAATAGAAAATATGCTGAGCACTATTGTTGTTCGTACGTGACGGTTAGGTGACTTAATGTGGGTTAGTGTGCACTTTAAAATTCATTCACAAGCCACACAATTGCAAAATTGTTTTAAAACAATTTTTACTTTTCTGCAGTTGTTTTTTCTCACCCCGTCCACTCTTCTTTCTTTCCGTGTTCAATGATTGATGCCAACTTTCTTGGGGAGCATATTATTGCTTTTTAAAAGTTTTTGGACATAATAAAGGACCCTTACGGTTTATTTAACCTTAGTACATCTAATGGCTTCTTCTAATCTCAAAACGAATGGATAAATTTGTGAACAATATTTTGCAGCGTTTTCAAACTTGTGTACGTGGCATCAGCTTCCGATTAATAATTACGAGAGAGCAAAAAGCAAGTGCCACATGTGACGAAAAAAAAAGATTAAAGACTATTTGTTACACTTTAACAGTCAACAGAAGAAGGGTTTTTTGCGCTGTTCGGATAATTCGCATTCTAAAACTGGAACTTTTTCAGTTAAAAGAAACATTGAAAAATCGATAGATCATTAGGAAGAAAAAAAAAAAAAGGAGAAATTTCCAGCTGACGGTAAATTGTAAGTACTGAAAGACAAAATGTTTGCCAAAAATTTTTAAGATTCTTATTTCAATTAGAGTACCAACAGCTGAATAAAAATAAGCGGAATTTTCTTGTTATGAAAAGTAATCATTAAATTTGATTATTAACAGGAATTAGTTACGTGCAAATAATCTCTTTCGATGCTAAGGGTGGACTGCAAAAATTGTTTTAGGACACTACTCTTTGCTGTAAGCCTTTTCTTCCACTTTTTTCTGCCTTGTTTATTTTAGATTTGGTGAATTTGGTGTTGCGTGAACAGATACTCAAAGGTTACTTTTCATTTTATCATCAAGTTTTTTAACATGAAGAAAATTTGATAATCAGTTTTTCCTCTTTTTTTTTTTCACAATTAGAAGTCTATCAAAATGTCGCAAAAAAAGAAAAACAAAAGTTTTTACTGAAAAGTAAAAGTAAAATTAATCTTTTCCAGCTAATCTTATCCAGAATTTTTCACCATCAAAAACAGCTAATTCAGTGTTTATCAGTGTTATTTTTTAACTATCACGATTTATTTGTCTGCAAATGCAGTTCAATCAGCTGTTCAAGTATAAACTATTGGATAGCCTGGTACAGCATAGTCGTTGAGCAGCCAACAGGTTTTTATCGACCACCTGAACAATATAGGAGACAACTGAGCTCTAAATGCATGTAATTTTGATCCAGTTTTCTCTCTTACTTTTTGCTCCAAATTTTCCCAATCAAAATTCTCATATTCATTTTATTTACATTGCTCTTCATGCAGTCAAAATTTATCTCCAACATTTCAGATCAAAGACTGTAAAAATAAAAATGATAAACGAATTAAACAACAATAAACAGTTACAGTCGTACTGACTGCAAAACAGTTTAAAGTAGATGCTGAAGAGCTTCCGTGATTACTGTAGAAGTGCAGAGAAACTGCACAACAGCAACGTGTAATAATTCTGACACGTATAGCTAAATAAACTATACATAATTTTCTACGTCGTCAGACAATGTTTATCAGACTGTAAATTTTATCGTCTCACTTAGGTCCACAACGATTTTTCACGTGCTTATTTTCCTATTCATAACCTGACTTTCATCGTTCAAGACATTCCCCATTAATCAACTCTTGTAGAAGCTGTAAAAATGTTAACATAGACTGAACTTGTAGCTCCTGCAGCATCTAATGATCCAAAGTGAAAAAAAAAAAAAGTAAACAGAAAATTCCTGGTGTAAGAAATGCTTTAAATGTTTCCAGATTTTGTTCACTAAGATTTTATTATGCTCAGCACAGTTGATGTAAAAATGTAACTTTTATATTCACTGTTTCGACCGTATATTTTTTGCAACACGGATGCATAACTTTATAGGTTACTCACCTACCTCAATAACCAGATGTTACCGGTGAGCCAACGGAATCTAATGACTAAAGATT